ATTCCCCTATCTGTCACTGGCTCTCCAGATCTTTCTCTCGAGACCCTCACTGACCCTGTGGCCACTTCCGTGGGTTGCCTGTGGTGGTTATTTCCATCATGCCCCCACTTTTGAGTGATGCAGGCTTCAGCAAGGGTGGGGCCAGGCACGTTTGGAGCCAGTGTGTTCTGAATCAGCGGCTGAGTTTGGGAGTGCAGCTCCCTCTGCTTTGCAGGTGATTTCTTGGATCAGCCCCATCCTCTCTGCCTGCTTGCCACCTTCCCCAGTCCCCTTTGCTTCCATCCCCCCCCAACAATGCTCTGCTACCCGCCCATCACAGTCAAACTAAGCTCTGTAGACTTGCTTTTGCCTCCCCCCAGCTGTAGCGCGTCCTGTGCAGTGAGAGGATTGCTTCCCTCAAGCCTAAGCTGGACCATGTCTGCTTCCGTCTACCAGTCAGTCCATTAGCCTTAACTCTGGGTTCCAGTCAGCGAGCCGTGAGTGGTAAAATAGACTTCACATACTTGTTCCGATACAAAAACACACTGTTCCCAAGCAAGAATCTCCCCTTCTCCAGCTTCATGCCCTTGCCTCTCCTCAAGATATTTGCCTAAACTTGGCTTTTTACTTTCTATTTAGAATTATCACACACATGTATTGATGCATACATAATACAATTCTCCACTGACATTATTTCAGTCTAAAGAAGAAATCATATTCTGTTTTCTGAATTTTTTCTAGTGGCGGGTGTGTATGTGTGCATGTTTCCCTCTGAGTGTGTCTGTGTTTGTGTCTGTCTGTCTGTCTATGTGGATGTGTGCACAAAGGCCAGAGGTCACTCTCAGTGTAGCTCCTCAGAAGCCATCTACCTTGTTTGTCCTGCAGACTATAGATGTGCAGATCTGGCCTTTTTATGTGAGTTCTGGGGGATCATACTCAGATGCTCATGATTGCTAGGAAAGCTCTTTACAGGCTGGGCCACCTCTCCAGTCCCCAGATTTGCTGTTTTGAGCAGATATTTTGTGTTAAAGAGATTTATTTACTTTTTTCTTTTGTGTATGTCTGAGGGCTTTTCTGTATGTGTCTCTCCCCATGCATGCAATGTCCACAAAGGCCAGAACAGGACATCAGATGCCCCGGAACTGGAGGTCTGAGCTGCCATGTAGGTGCTGGGAACCAAACCCGGCTTTCCTTCGAGAGCAGAAAGTGCTCTTAAGGCTCAGTCATCTCTCCGGCTCCCTTGAGTAAATGTTTTGTTTCTAAGATTGAGCTTGCTGTGACCCATGACATGTGTCCATTCATGTCCACTGATGAATGAGCCGAAGTCTATGGTTTGTGTAATTCAAACAGTGCTGCTATGGTCATGTCACACGTCTCCAAGGACACATGTGAGATGTTCTTTAGGGGCTTTCAATTCTAGTTTAGTGTAGACCATTTGCTTAGTGTGTGAGAGGGCCCAGATCCATCTGCAGCACTGTAAACAAAATAACTAACCAAGAAGGAAAGAAAGAAAGAGAGAAAGAAAAGAAAGAGGAAGGAGCCATCAAAAACAGAAAACAAAACAAACTCCACCAAAGAAACAGTAAAGGAGGGGGGGGAGAAAGAGAGAGGGGGAGAGAGAGACAGAGAGAGAGAGAGAGAGAGAATTTCTCTTGAAATTTTGGTGTTGAATTTGAGTTTAAAAGCTAATACCAAATTATTTGTTCAGGCGATTGGGCCATTTCATACCCCTCTCCTCCTAGAGTATAAAAATCCTGTTTAGGGGGCTGGCATGAGATGGCTCAGCGGGTAAAGGCACTTGCTGCCAAGTCTGACCACTTGAGTTTGGCTCCCAGGACCTGTGTCGAAGGAGAAAACGGGCTCCAACAAATTGACCTCTGACCTCCCCTTGTGTGCCATGGCACTCATGCTGACATACAAACACACATAAGGCAAATAAATAATATAATAAAACAGGTGTTTTGTTTTTTTTTTTTTTGGAGGGAGGTCTCGAGACAAGGTCTCTCTACATAGCCCTGGCTCTCCTGGAACTCTCTCTATTGACCAGGCTGGCCTCCAAATCCCAGAGATCTATCTGCCTCCCTCCCAAGTGCTGGGATCAAAGGCATGTGCCACCATGCCTGGCAATAAAAACAAACAAACAAACAAACAAACAAACAACAACTTTTAATCTTAAAAAATCATGTTTACACCCAGCAGGTAAAGATGTGTGCCTGGAGTCAAGCCTCACACAGAACCGACTCAGTTGAGTTGCTTTCTGATTTGTGCCTCTGTGCTGTGGCATGTACCCAGGTATATGTGTGTGTGTGTGTGTGTGTGTGTGTGTGTGTGAGTGCAGGTGCACACACATTAACAAAGCTTAAAAAAAAATTCCGTTTACCCATACTCCCTCCGCCGACATTTGGTTCGATAAGAAATACATTTTATTTTTAATTGGCACATAGGAATCAGACGAATTTCAACTGGCATTGATGCCTGCCATTTTGGTATTCAGGAGGCTGAGGCAAGGGATTGAGTTTGAGACCAGTTTAGCTACAGAGTAACATCTTTCCTAAAATTAAAAAAAAAAAAAAAAAAGACAGAACAAAAAAGGGGAAAAATAAATCCCCAAATAAGCCTCTCTGAAAGAACCCATCCCCCCACTGCATATTTATATAGAGGACATAATGACTGGCTTCTCAGTTCAGCACATTTGCAGTGTGTGCTGATCAGATCCCGTCAGAATTACTGACTGTTCCCAAATGGATAGTGTAAGCCGATGTCTTGGCATGGTCCCGAGTTGGGGTTCTGTGACTGTTAGCTTACTAGTTAGTAAATTTCTAAACTGCCTGTATTTCCTGCCCTTTTGAGTTTGGATTTACTTATGCAAAGTTACGTAGGCAAATCTTCTTAAAATTCTCTGCAAAACTTACCCACATCCCCTTTCCCCAGAAGCCAAGCGTTGGCGCACCACACATGTAGCCGTCCTTGTATCAAGATTCAGATTCATGTGCTGTCTCTCAGTAAGGTCTCATTCTGTAGCCCAGGCTGGGCCCAAACTTGTTATTCCTTTTCCTCAGCCTCCCAAGTGCTGGAATTACTGGCTTAGCAACCCTCCTAGCCTCTTGGCTTTCTTAAACTTGGCTATAGGCTGACTTGTTCCATGAAGCACGCCCTTATAGACACAGCCTGACCTTGGTTACGCGTTTAGCCAATGAGTTCTGACTGGCTTCTTACACTCCATTGGCCAGACCAGAAACTGGTACAGGACGTGTATGAAGCTTATTAACTTCTGGTGCTAAATGGCTCAGCGGTTAAGAGTGCTTACCGCTCGCTCGTTCAGAGGACCAGAGTTCTCCCAGAATCACAACTGTTTGGGCAGCTCCTGAGGGCCTGTAACTCAAGCTCCAGGGGATCCGACGCCCTCTTCCGGTCTCCGGTGGTATGTGCACGCATCCACACACAGGAACGCAGACGCCAGGGAAAAAAGCTGGCTGTGTGCATGCCAAGACAGGAGCTGCACCCCCGTAGGTGCTGGGTGAGCATGGCGATCGCCCTGAAATTCTAGTGCTCGAAAGGTGTGGAGCAGGGAATCCCTGGGGTAAGGTGGCCCGCTGGGCCGGCCTGTGCTGGTTAGCCCTGGGTTCACGGCCCCCAACACCAGTCCCTATCTCTTGGAAAAAGAATCTAACTGAGGGGACCCCAGCTGAATCCAGCCCATTTCGGAATCCGCGGCCAATGGGCTCTCAGGCGTCTTGATTTCCTTGCCTGCGGGGGAAGAAGCACAGAGGAACTCAGGTCTTGAGTCTCCCCTCCGGCTAGAGAGGAGGAAGAGGCACAGGACGCGGTGCGGGTCGGTGTGTTCCAGCTTAGACCGGTGGCTGCGCTGCAGATGTGAGGGAAGCTGCAGGCGGAAGTCGAAAGCCTTTCAGAAGGAACTGGGGGAATCAAAGGGCACGTGGCCCCCCGAGAATAGCTGGGTGTTTTCCACTTTCAGAGCATCCCTAGTTGAAGATGCGGGCGTGCTTCCTGCAGCCGGCTGCTGTGTCTGGCGGTGCCTTGCAGCTGCCTTAAGCACACCGGAGAGAGAGGCAGGTTCAGTTGCTATGGCAGTGGTGACGCTTGTCCTGAGACACATGCGAGGACCCATAGGGATCCCAGTGAATTTGGGGGGAGGGTTTACAGGTGGCTGAGGTCTGTGTTGTCAGGAGGAAGTAGGAACGGGTTGGGGGTTCGTTGTGGTTCATTTCCTCATTTATCATCTGATCTCGTGCTTATGAAGCCTTGGTTTGGGTGAAAGGGACTCAGTTGTCCTCTGGGTCTGGGAAGGGATGTCTCCTGAAGGTGGACATCCTGAGCTGTGAGCCACCGTTTCCACACACAGAGACACATGGTCCTCACCTTGGAATTTGAATAACTTCCTGCACAAGGTGCTTAAAGCACGGATGGCACAAAAGCCTTGAGAACCTAGGACAAGCTTCCCAGACGAAGGACCTTAGATGTCTGCAGGCCTGTCCCAGGGAATCAAAGATGTGGAGAACAAGAGATTTATCTGTGAGCTGTCCCTAGCCAGTGGAATGGCTGCCTTTTTCAACTGTTAAGGATTGAGAGTGAGGGGCAAGGAGACCGCCAGTGGTCCAGACCATTTGCTAAGACACAGAACCTAGAGGGAAGAAGAAGCCAGTGTTTAGACCTGGCAGTCCATGCTCAGGAAGGGTAAAATGAAGAGGTGGAAGAAGGCTTGGGAATGTCCATCTTATCATTAATTCCTGTTCTAGAGCTGTCTAAGCCAGTCTTCCTCCAACAGCAAGAGCTGATGGCGTGGGTTCGCCCCCATGGTAAGGCCTCTCTGTCGCTTTGTGTTTTCACAGAGGTGTCTTTGTTCCCGGCTTGTGCAGACTCTTCCTGGAAGTGAAGTTGTGGAATCCTGACCTTCAGTCTGGCAGTCCCAACCTCGGGGTTTGGGCGTGATCACTAATGGGCAAGGGGTTTGGGCTCCTGAGGAAAACCTGCCAGTCAGTTGTGGCTGAGTCTCAGCGGTCTTCAGAACTGGAGGAAGAGGAGAGCATGAAGAAGAAGGGAGTGTTCCCTAGAGAACATGGCAGTGCCTGGGACCACCCTCACGGTCATTAGAGCCCTCCCTTCGCTTATCACTGTATAGAAATGCTTTGCTCATACTCTGCTTTGGAAGTGGCGCGGTCTGCATTAGTTTCATTCTGGTGACTCTTGTTGGCTTAAAGAATGTGCCCTGCTGATTTGTGAGCTGAAGCCCATGACCCCAAATCATTTGCTTTGTTTGCTTTGTCCTGTCTCAGAAGCTCTTTGTCCAGGGCCCTGAAATTTGGGAGACTGTCTTGTCCTTCAGCCTCTCACCTTCTGGCGTCAGATGATCCTGTGGTTGGGGTGGGAAAGGACGTTGCTTGCTGATGTGTCACAGGAATATTATTTTTGGTTTTCCTATGTCTTTGAAAGTTGTGTCCACCTCTTGAGGTAAGTTTGGGGCTGATGGGTCTTTCCCACAGCCGCCTTCAATGTCCTCCATTTTTTTCTTCTTCTCCTCCTCTGTTCCTCCTCTTCTTCTTCCTTCCTCTCTCTCCTTCTACTTTTTTTTTTTTTTTTTTGAGGCAGGGTTTCTCTGTGTAGCTCTGACTATCCTGGATCTTACACTGTAGACCAGGCTGGCCCCAAACTCAGACATCTGCCTGCCTCTGCCTCCCAGGTTCTGGGATTAAAGGTGTGCTCCATCACTGCGGGGCTGTGTTGAGGACCGAGGGACTCCTCTCCTGGAGCCCACTGTAGACCAGACAAACCCTGTGTTATCTCTGAGGCACACCGACACCCGACCTGATCACAGCGGTGCGGAAGTGTGGAGTGAGGGGGACCAGCACTCCCCACAGGAGCTCTCAGCGTCTCTTTGCCTTTTCCTCCACCAACTGCTGCGCCACTCACTGTCAGCATGTGACCTCACTCTGCTCTAGTGCGTTATTAAGGCTTGTTTTGTCATTTAAGTTTTCAAAGCCCAGCGCTTGATCGCTCCTTCCCAGACTGTTTGCAAGCTCCCTGGTGAATTCTTTGTGTCTGTGAGTGTTTCTCAGGACTTTATGTCCTTTAGTCTTTTATGTCTGGGAAAACGCTTGAGTTCCTTTCTGTGTTGTCTTACCTCCAGTATTTTTTTTCCTCTTCATTTTATAGGTCTGGTTGGTTTACACAACATCGGACAGACCTGTTGCCTTAACTCCTTGATTCAGGTGTTCATGATGAATGTGGGCTTCAGGAAGATATTGAAGAGGTACGACCACGGGTCTGGCTGATCGCGTGTGTATCATTTATGTTTCAGAACACTGGTTTATTCCCAGCACCTTTGACTTTTATAAGTCTTTACTCCAGAGATGGCCCGAGAAAAAGATCTTTCCTTGATCATTTTGTACTGCAGGTTAGGGTCATTTATAAAGTTAAAACATACGTAAAAGCTTGCCCCTGTCTCCAATTGGTTTCAGGTGGTGTGGGGCATTACTGTGCCTTTGAATTTTTTTTTTTAACTATTATTTTATTGTTTTATGTATGTGGGTAGTTTGCCTGCATGTATCTCTGAGTACCACATGCATATCCAGGGAGGCCAGAGGAGGGAGTTGGATCCCATGAAACTGTGAGCAGCCATGTAGGTGCTGGAAAAAGAAGCCGGGTCCTGTGGAAGAGCAGCCTGCATTCTTAGCTGCTGAGCTATCTCTCCAGCCCCCTTAGTGGTTTTAAAAAAGACTCCTCAGATACTTCTGACGTACAACCATGGGAGACAGTCACTGGTCTGGAGTTGGGACAGACTAACATCAGAGAAAGTTAGTGGTCTAATAAAATGGAACGGATGCAGTCATTTTACCAGTGATTTTATTTAGTCCTATGCTTTCTGCTTTTTCTTCATCCACAAAGCAAGTGAGAGTTACTTATAGCTAAACGAATCATGGCAAAACACTGTCATCTGCTGTATTGCCTTTTCTTCCCTGGACCTAATTCAGTGTTTGGTTTTCTAGCTCAAAGTCCCTCAGACTAGACATTTATCTCCTTGCTCTAGGATGGACCCTGTCCTTTCTAGTATGAAAGCTGAGCCTGGCTGGGGTGGGACTGTGTTGATCCCCCTTTTAGGAAGGCACTCTGTGCACGCCGGTCCCTAAGTCACTTGAGCCCAGGCAGAAATCTACCCATTTCCATCATCCTGACCGAACCCAGAGAATGGCATGGACAGGGAAAGTCTTTGCAGTTCTTGCAATGTTCTCCGTGTGCTGCTGGCCTGAGGGATGGCAGGTGTGAGCCGCCGGCCTGGCTGTTCTTACTTGGCAGGATAACAGTGCCACGGGGGGCGGACGAGCAGAAGAGGAGCGTCCCCTTCCAGTTGCTGCTGTTGCTGGAGAAGATGCAGTCCAGCCGGCAGAAAGCGGTGCTGCCCTTGGAGCTTGCTTACTGCCTCCAGAGATACACCGTGCCCCGTAAGAGCCCTTGCAGCAGGGAAGAGGGCTCCACTAGGGGAGGAGGGAGGGACAGGGCTGATGGGCAGTGAACGAACATCTGGGCTCTAGACCCTTTATGTTAGAGGTAATGGTGTTGATCTGAAACATGTATCTCTTTACTTTTGTGAGGAAAGGTTTAACGTGAGATTTTTTTTTTTCTGACTAATATCAGCTTGTTGCTTTGAAGTATCTTTAAAAAAGACTAGCACAGCAGCTGCCCAGGGCCCAGCCAGTGATTTGCTACATTTGTGCAATGTCAGGGTAATTAGCACATCTTTCTCTTTAAGCACTCATTTCTTCGTGTTGCCGGTAGCCAAGTGTACGTTTGCCAAAACACACACCATCTTCCTCCCTGTTGTCCTTTGGCCTGGTTGGCTTTTAACGGTCAACTCGACACAGCCAAGAATCACCTGACAAGGAAGTCTCAGTCAAAAGGGGCTTCTGAGATTAGACCGGTGTGTATAGGTGTGTCTGTGGGTGGGTATAGGTGTGTCTGTGTTGGCTGCTCATTGATGTAGGAGGGCTTGGCTCACTGACCCCCACCCCCACACATCGCTGGGCAGGTAGTCCTAGGCTCTATAGTCTGAGTGTGAGCTGGAGAGTGAGGCAGCAAGCAGCGTTCTTCCATGCTTTGTTTCTCTTTCAAGTTCCTGTTTGGGCTCCTGCCTCTGCTTCAGTGATACACCTCGACCTGGAAGTGTGGGCCCTATAAACCCTTCCCTCCCCTAAGTTGCTTTTGGTCACAGCGTTTTATCACAGCCACAGAAGGGAACTAGAATGTTTTTTTTTTTTTGTTTTGTTTTGTTTTTGTTTTTCTTCTGAGGACCTAACTCAGTACAAAATGATCAAGGAAAGATCTTTTTCTCGGGTTCAGCTTTGGATTCTTCAAATCCTTTACAGAAATCTACAATAAACTGAATGGAATACATATAGCAGAATGCTTTCCCCTCTGTTTTCATTTGAAATGTTCTGTCAATGCCTGTTGAATCCGCTTGCTGTATAGTATTGTCTAACTCATTGTTGGCCTTAAAAAGATTTAAGATTTTGTTTATTGTTGTTATGTGATATGTGCAGTGTGTGTGTGTGTGAGAGTAAGGGTGTGAGTGAGGGAGTGTTCACACCACAGCGTGTGTATAAAGGTCAGAGGAGAACTTTTGGGAGTTGATCCCTTCCTTCCAGTGTGGTAATTAGGTGCTGCACTCAGGCTACCAGTCTGAGCAGCAAGTGCATTTGTGTGTGTGTGTGTGATGAACCATCTCACCAGCACTGTTGATTTTTTTTTTTTTTTTTTGTCCAGATGATTTGTTGAAAGTGGGGGTGTTGAAGCACCCAAGTGCGTTTTAGAATCTCTCTCTGTGTGTTTAGACCTAGGACTATTTGCCTTATGCATCTGGTGTTTCAGTTTTGGGACTGCATACGGTTACAATTGTTAAATCCTTCTGTTGAGTTGATTGCTTTCTTATTACGTACTGACCTTCTGTCTCCTTTGGCAATGTTTGAATTTTAGTCTATTTTGCTGGTACAAGTATTGCTGCCAATGGCTGCCTTTGGTTTCTGTTTTCTTGTTGTATCCTTTTTGGCCTTTCACTTTCATTCTGTGTGTCTTCGCTGATAAAGTGATTTTCTTGTGTGCATCACATCATTGAGTTTTGGTTTTTAGACATGTCAGTGGGGGGAATTTAACTGGTTTACATTAAATATTACCACTGATAAATGAAGCATGCTCTTGTAATGATGTAAAATTTCTGTATGTGTTTTGGATAATTTTTATTCTTTTTTCTTTCTTTCTTCCCTTCCACTTTCCCTCTCCTTCTCCTCTTCCTCTTCTTCATCTTTTCTTCACATCAAAGTCACTATGTAGCTAAGTTGACTTTAAGCTCTTGGTCTCTCTAGCCTTCGATTCCTGGTTGCTAGGCTTAGAGGCATGCACCTTCACACTCAGTGTCTTTCTTTTTTTTCTTGTTTATGTTTGTGAAGAGGTGCTTTTATTCTCTCTTTATGAGTGTGTGTGTATGTGTGTGTGTATAGAAGGTACTCTGTCTTGCCTGTCATGTACTTTTATAAGCATTTCTTATGGGGGCAGTCTGGTGAAGAATTCCTCAGATTTTTGTTTTCTTGGAAAACCTTTATTTTTCTTCATTTTTGAAGGATAGCTTTGCTGGGTATAATATACTTGGTTGGCTTTTTAAAAAGCTTTTTATTGATTTTTTTTTTTTTTTTTTTGTGAATGTCACATCATGCATCTCAATTCCACTCACCGACCCATCCCCTTGGATCTGCCCTCCACCTTTGCAACCTTCCCACCAGCAGAGGAAAAAAAAAAAAAAAACAAAAAAAAAAAAAACAAAACCACCTCATTGTGGAAGCTGTAGTGTGTCACAGTGTGACTCACAGTAAATCCTTTCATCCATACTTCTTTGCTTGCAAATGTTCATTTCAATGACTGATTGGTCGGTATGATTTTTGCTATGCTATCAATACTGGCACTTCACTGGGACCCCTTTCAGATATCCTGTTGTTGCCCTGTATCATGGATCTGTAGTAGGACTGGCTCCTTCATTTTGCATTGTAGCAGTTCATTGATGGGTTCGTGCTTGGGTGGGCAAATTCAAAGCCCTGGATCTGGGCCTGAGAGGAGGTCGATGAGCTGGTCAACCCAATGGCTCTCCCACACTCATACCTTCAGAGCTGGCTCACTGGCAACCCCTGCAACTAGGGCCAGCTCTATCCTGCTGTACAAGTGAGGTGCAAACCCTGCTCTCCCAAGTGTTTCAGCCAGTGAGGGACATGGTGTGTTCTCTTACTCTCATGATCCCAAGTGGCAAGGGACAAGAAAGGGGAGGAGGGCATCTCTCCCTTGTCTTTGCCACTGCACAACAGACAGAGGCAAAGACAAGGGAGACAGAGCCAGCTCTCCTGTACTCTTGGTGCTAGCTCACCTGCAGTCTCCACATGGAGGGTCAGCTTTACCGTGCTGCCCAGGTGAGGTGCAGGGCCCAATCTCCCAAGCGTTGCAGCTGCTGAGGGGCAGGGACAGCTCTCCTGTCCTCTGTAGGTGGCGATGGCGAAAGGAAGGGGAGGGACTCTCTCCCTCAACAATGCCACACACAGCAGACAAGAGGCAGGGTCTGATCTCCCACTCTGATGACCGCAGAGCCAGCTCTTCTGCTTGCTGTAGGTGGCAAGGGGTGAGGGGGCATCTCTCCCTTGCACATGATAGACAAGTGACAGGGCCAGCTCTCCCATGCTTATGCCCTCATGGCCAGCGTGCCCACAACCCCACCACTGGCGTCAGCTCTACTGTGCTGCCCAGGTAAGGCCTGGTCTCCTAAGTACTGAAGTTGACTAGGGGTTGGGTCAGCTCTCCTGCTCTCACACCCCCTGGGCCAGCTCTCCTATGGTGCCCATATGAGGGGTGGGGCCAGATCTGCACATCCCTTAGACATCAATGTCTGCCTGGCCTTTGGTGGTAACAGACCCCTGCTGCTGCAGGGCTACAGACCCAGACATGGCTCCTTGTGGCAGTACAGGCCAGGACCCATCATGGTCCCAGGTGGCATCACTGGCTTCTCAAATCAGGCTGTTTCTCACTACCCTTGAGCCTCCAGTTCTGCCTCTCTTCATTGTGCCCGCATCCTTCTGTTTCTCTTTCTCTTCCATTTCTCCACGACTTACCTAGTCCTCTGGGTGGTGCCTGGGGTTTCTGAGTGTCTGGGGTGGTCTTAAGAGTGCTATGTCCTGCTCATGCATTATGGCACCAGGCAGGGGTCATCTCGGGCATGGTCTGTCCCTCCAGGCCTTCACGGCACCGGACTGGTGGTCATCTCAGGCTAGCTCCCTATCTAGGCCCCATGGTGCCAGTCTGGTGGTTATCTTGGGTTTGCTCTTCATCTGGGCCTACCTGAGGGTCTGTCTCAGGCTCACTCCTGCCTGGGGTCCACTGTCCCAGCCAGGGTTCTTCTAGTCTCTGGTTTGATCCCCAACCCTGGGACGAGCCAGGCTGAGGGTCTCAGGTTTTTCAGGGAGTGTTAGGCTATTAATTCAGATGGTCTCGGGTCAGAACACTAAGCGTAAACCTAGCTTCTCTTATCTCTGCCTCCTCAGCCCCATCTGCAATGCCTCTAGGGGCACACTGGTTGGTGTTTTTGTTGTTATTGTTTCAGGACTTTGTATATCTCATCCCACTCTTAAAGAAGGCCCTTTCTAACTTAATCTGTTTGGAGGCTTTTGAGCTTCCTGGAGTTGATGCCTATATTTGCAGTGATTTGGAAAGTGGTCATTGATTAATTCAGTAGGTTTTCTGTGCCTTTCCTTTACCATCTCCTCTTATGGGACCTGTAGTGTAAGTATTTTCTTAATTTGTTGTATGCGTTATGTTCCATAGACCTTGTTTTTAGTTTTTCTCGATTTCTTTATTTTTAATTTTTTTCTGATTAAGTTATTTCAAAAGACCTATCCTCATGCTTAGAAAATCTCTTCTGCTTGCTCAACACTTTGATGCTCTCTACTGTTTCTTTATAATTTAAACTTATTGAAATCATTAGTGCCATCATTTCTCTTTGTAATCTCTATGTATGCTGAATTTCTCACTCATTTAACAGTTTTCATTTTTAATTTAATTGATGTTTCTATTTTCTAGTATCTCATTAAATTTCCTTGTAATCATTTGTTTGATTCTCTGTTACACAATTTATTTGTTTTCTTTCCTTTGGGGTCTGTTGCTAAAAAGCTGTTGTGTTCCTTTTGAGACACTAGGGTGCTTAGTTTTCCATAATTCTTTTAAAAAATCCAGATTTTGACTTATTAAAAAGTATTTTTTTATGATTATGGGTATTGTGTCTGCATGTATCACTGTGTGGGCCTCCAAGGGTTTATAACTAGAGTGACAGACAAATGTTAGAAGCCATGTCGGGGCTGAGAATTGAACTCAGGTTCTTTGGAAGAGCAGTCAATGTCTCTGTTGGTGTTTGAATGGCTGGTGGGACAGTTATCTTGACCTTAAAAAAAAAAAAGGATAATCTTAAACTGTTTCAAATCTAAGAGAAGGATCTTAGATTTTCTTTATACAGTGTGATATTAAATCTGGGTTTGACATCTGTGATATTTATTTTTAATTTAATTTTGATAATTATTTATTTATCTGTTTATTATTTTTACATATGTGAGTGCAGGCACATGAGTGCCACAGTGTCTTTGACATGGCAAACACGTGGAGGGCAGAGGGCAACCTTTGGGAGTTCTCTTCAGACACAGTGGGTGCCAGTGTTCAGATTCAAGTCCCCAGGCGTTCTCAGAAAGCGTTTTTACTCTCTGAGCTGTTCTAGTATAAGAAAAATCACACAAACCACTCAGACTTCAGTCTCAGATACGGACGGTTTATTGGGATGCCTTTTCCACGCTGATCGATCAGGGCCACAGGAAGAAACACATTTTGGCCAACCATACGAAGCAATGTTATGTTTTTGGCTAGCTAGACAAAGCTAGTCATTAGCTAACCTTTAAGCTGATTGGTCCTAAGTGAGGTAAGTGAGGCAGGGCATAGGGTCTTCTGGAGTCCATCCAAAGTGTAGCCAGGTGTGTAGATAAGAATGGTGCAACCAGAGTGTAGCCAGGTGAATAGACAACAAAGTATGAGTTATGAGACTATTGAATCATAAGGTCAGCTATGAACAACCGCTTCCAGGAGGCAGAGTTGAAAAGTTTAAAAAATTGAGCTTAATTTCACCTTAGAAACAAAATGGAAGCTGAAAACAAAGATGGCTGCAGCTTTGTCTCAAAAAGCAGGCTACAGCATGAACCACCTAATTCCCCCTGTATTTTTTATTTTATGAGCATTTTGATTGACTTTATGAAGAAACAGACACCTAGAAGCTATTATTTTTTTGTTAGCCATCTCATTTATATTCTCACTTTGATTTAGCTTCCCATGGTGCTTTGTGCACTCTAGGGGACCTTGTATTCTTGTTTGAATTATGACCAGTTGGAACCTGTCCTCCATTAGAATATGGTGTCTCAGGGGTATGCATTTTCTTTGGCACCTGTCATGCAATGCCTCCCAAGTGTGAAGTATATAGTGGGATAGACAGATATCCTTGCATTTTGTAGATGACTGGGGACTCTTGGCTCTGGGATGACCTGATGAGGTTTAAAAACAATGACTGCAGATGGCAGCTGCCCTAGTTTTGTTTCTGTGGCTGTGATAAAAATACCCTGAAGAAAAGCAGCTTAGGGGAGAAAGGGTTTCTTTTAGCTCCCAAGTCCAGGGTACAGCCTGCCATAGCAGGGGAGTTGGAATGGCAGGCAGAAACGTGAAACAGCTGGGCAAATCACACCCACAGTCAAGCTCAGAAAGAACAAGTGCTCTCACATGTGTCTACCATTTAGCTTACTCTCTGTTTTCATATGGCCCAGGACCCAGACCCAGGAACAGCACAGCCTACAGTGAGCTGGGTCTTCCCATAGCAATGAAAACAGTCAGGGCAACCCCTGCAGATATGACCACAGGCCAGTTTAATCCAGGGAGCCCCTGAATGAGTTCTTCCCAAGTGGTTTCCCATTGTGTCAAGCTGACAGTTACAGCTGATTGTGGCAGGAGCTAGAGAGCTGATTGTGACCGGAGCTAGAGAGCTGGCTCCAGTTAAGAACACTTAAGAGCTCTTGCAAAGGACCCAGGTTTAGTTCTCATGTGTGGTAGTTCAAAACCATTTGTAACTCCTGTTCCAGGGGACTGGATGCCCTCTTCTGACCCTCAAAGGCACTAGGCATACACACGACACTAGGCATACACATACACATACATACATACATACAGGCAAAACATCTATACAGATAACAGCAAATAAATAAGTGTAAACAAAACAAAACTGACCACCCCGGCACCTTAATCCAGTTTTCTTCACGTCACGCTGTGACAGGAAACCATCTGCATATAATTCGCTGAGTCAATCAATTTCCCCCATCTGCTACACTGCTTTTGAGTTGCGGTTCATTACGTAGATTAATTAATACACTCAATTAACATATAACGTTCACGTTCATCATTGTAGATTTGATGTGCGTAAGGCAACAGGAACTTAAAGTTTAGAAGCGGGACGGGTCAAAAAAATAACGAAAACAAAGGCTGTCAGGTTTCTGTTTGCACTGCATATCACGAATGCCGTGATGGAAAACGGAGCATGTTCTCAGAAACTGCCTTGGCCTGAAATGTGTTTGCATTTTGGCACAGATCTGCCCTTTTAGCAAACAGCCCACAGCCTGTTTCTCGCCTGTTTTTCTGACTTCCCACTTCTTTGGACAGACACTATTAAAGTCAGTTGTGCCTGTTCACAATTTCATACGTCCTTATGCAACAGGTAGACAATTCCCGGCAAAGTTCCCGCTGGCCTCAGCCAGGATCGTCTCGGAGCTGGTCGTTCTCTTTGTTCCTTTACTCTGGCATCTGTTCCTTTACTCTTTACATCTGGCAACCTGGTCAGATTGGGAAGAGGCCCCGCTGTTAGTGAATAAAAGCGACCACCAGGGGGCAGAGGAGTCCCGTCATAGCATCTGCTCAGCCGAAAGTGGGAGGAACTAGTTGGGATCTGTCAGAGGTCTGTAGAGGTGATGATGACAGAGAAAAAAAGTCAGCACCGAGCTTACTTTTCGTTAGTCGTTCTGAAGGGGAGGGAAGGCTGGGAAAGGACAGAGCGGTGAGGGTTCCGTGTCAGCGTCCTGCTGGCTCTACAAGGGCAGTCTCCTGACTGACTGTGCTTCCCTCTGACCAGTGTTCGTCCAGCACGATGCTGCCTATCTCTACCTTACAATCTGGAACCTGACTAAGGACCAGATCACGGACGCGGACTTGGTAAGGGCCCGTGGTTGATGCCCCTCGACTGTGTGCGGTCACTGCTTGGCTCAGCTCCCCAGGGTGGGTGTGGTCACCTTTCCGTGCAGAGAAGCAAATATTTGTGTGGGCCCGTTTCTGAGCTTCTGCCTGAAAGCCACTTACGCGGACCTAACGTGGCTTCCGGGTCGTCTGACCCCTCGCTCTCCGCTTGCAGGCAGAGCAGCTGCAGGCTCTGTTTACAATCTGGACCAAGGAGTCCCTGATTTGCGTGGGCTGTGCCGCCGAGAGCAGCAGAAGCAGCAGGCTGCTCACTCTCTCTCTTCCTCTTTTTGATATGGACACCAACCCCCTGAAAACACTGGTGAGGCACTTCTCGTTGGGGACTTTGTGTATCCCGAGGTAGCCAGCTTCCCCTTGCTTCTGTCCACCTACCCTTGGATCTCATGTGGGCAAGATGGCACAGCATGTCAAGGTGCTTGTTGCCAGGCGTTATGCCCTGAGTTTGATCCCTGGGTCCTACACGGTGGAAGAACTGACTCCTGTTCGCCACATACGTGCCTTGGCATGGGTATGTCTCCTGGCCAATCTCTTTGACTTGGGGGAGGAACACCCCCCCTTCCTGATTTCCTCATGTCCTTCCCCTGGAACATCTCTTCCAGTTTTGTTCCTCTAGCAGTGGGGTATTTTCTGAAATCCTGCTCCATGTATCACACGTGCCCACTTAGGGGGGATTAAAGGGTAGCTTGGGCTTCCATTGGCAGGGGAAGAGGGTTGTGTTTGAGACGGGAAACATGAATGCCTCTCGCTTCTTCTCTTGGGTGCGGCAGGAGGATGCCTTGCGATGTTTCTTCCAGCCCAAGGAGTTAGCAAGCTCAGACAAGTGCTTCTGTGAGAACTGTGGGAAGAAGACGCCTTGGAGACAGGTACACCTTCAAGCCAAACATTCACTGCTCTGGGATTGCCTTCAGGGCATCTCCTAATGGCTGACCTTGGGAATCTGGGTCCAGCCAGAGCCTGGGATCCTAGGGCTTCTCGTCTGAATGACTTCAGACTTGGCATCTCAGATCTTATCACTAAGAGGAACAGGATGAACCTTTTGGGGTTAAGAGGGGGAAGAGGGAGCAGCGGGTAGGGTTTTTCTCTCAGGGTTAGGTTGAAGTCCTAGAGTAGACGTCACAGGGGCCGTGCCCAAGCAGAGAGATGTAAGGTGATGACAGTCAGTCATGTGAGTCTTGAAGGTGCCCCCATCTCCCCTGTGGGAAAGGGCACATTGCCAGCCTCGACACCTCTCTGAACCTGCCCACCCCTGGTGCCCAAAGACTTCACACTGACTTTGTCTTTTCAGGTTCTGAAGCTGACTCGTTTGCCCCAAACCCTGACCATCCATCTCATGAGATTCTCCATCAGGAACTCACAGACAGAAAAGATCTGCCACTCAGTACATTTCCCCCAGAGCTTGGATTTCAGTCAGGTTCAGCCAACTGAGACGGACGTTGGTGATACCAAGGAGCAGGTGAGCCTTACCTTCTGTCCTTCATTCATCTCGGCAGACTCCGTGGCTTTCTGAGGTAGCCATCCAACCCCATCAGCTGCTGGACACCACTCGCTCATAAGCGCTCTAGCTATACGTATCAAGTCCAGGCCAGAGGCTTGATCCATAGCTCAACAGACTCTGAGGTAACCTGAACTAACACCATGTGAGCCAAATGTGAGCTTCCTGGGTCAGGCTCTCATCCAGGGACGTGGGCCCTTGTTGGCCATCTTTGGCATAAACAACAGTGGCAAAACAACTGAAGCTTGGCATGATTTATGAAAGCGCGCGCGCACACACACACACACATACACACACACACACACACACATCCAAGACCTTGTTCTGCTTTTGTTCTTCTTTAAAAATTAAAACATAATTAACTCGTATTTGTTTGTTTGTGTGTGTGTGTGTGGCATGAGTGGGGTCAGAGGACAATTGGTGGCAGTCAGTTCTCTCCTTCAACCACCTGGACCTCTAGGATTGGACTCAGGTCAACAGTCTTGGAGGCAGTTGCCTTCACCTGTTGATCTGTCTTGCCAGCCCAAGACGGACTTCCTTTCTTAAGCATTTTTTAATGATCAAGGCCATGTCATTCTGAAGCTGTGGTGTGTCACAGCCAGCCTTCGCCTCTGCTCTTAAAGATTCAGAAAGCTTCCTTTTTCTCTTTCTTTCTTTCTTTCCTTTTTTTTTTTTTTTTTTTTTTTTTTTTTTTTTTTTTTTTTTTTTTTTACTATTGGGCTTTATGGAAATGCCTCAGAGCACTGAGAAAAGGGATCTGTAATCTGGCACTTCCCATTTGAAATGACACATGGAATACTTAGAGGCGCGTGAGTAAATGCAAAGTTTCAGGTTCTCAGAACCAACTACACTTCGGTATTCAATAGTCAGAGTCTGCTCTGAGGCTAATATCAAGGTAGCTGCTTGTTGGAAATTTAATCAGAGGAAAGTTTCATTCAGTTGTCCCAAGCTTCTTGGGAGATTCTACGACAAAACAAAACAAAACAAAACAAAACAAAACAAAACAAAACAAAAAGACTGTCTTTTCTTTGTTGGCTTGAAGTGGGAAAGGCCACATTTGCCAGTGTCTCTGCGTCTGTCTCCCCACAGTCTGAAGTGCACTATGAACTCTTTGCTGTGGTTGCCCATGTCGGGATGGCTGACTTTGGTCATTACTGTGCCTACATCCGGAATCCTGTGGATGGAAAATGGTTCTGCTTCAACGACTCCCATGTTTGTTGGGTGAGAAACATCAGCCCACATAGCTGCTTGTCATAAACTAGCTGCCTCCAATAAATCCTGGGCTTGGGGACACCTGGGTCCTCCCGTTGAATTCTGCAGTCCATACCCTGAACGAAGGTGCTTTTAAGGAGTGAGGCGCAAAGTCTTTTTTTTTTTTTTTTCTCCTTGAAAGCCGCTCCTGGTTTATAACTGTATGTGCTCTGCCAGCGCAGTGCCCCAGGTTTCTGGCGCTCTAAGCCCAGGGCCCTGACACTGTGGCAAACTTCTTTAATGCCCGAGCTGTAGCTCTTGGGTAGGCATAACCAGGTTTAGAGAGAGGGATGGACTTGTCTGGGGTGAAGGAGGACAAAGGACAGCGCCCTGCCTTTTAGGCACACTGAGGTGGGTGCTGTCTTCTTTCTTACACACTTGCAGGTGACCTGGGAGGATGTCCAGTGCACCTATGGGAATCACAGATACCGCTGGTAAGAGACGGGCTGGGCTCCTGACACACTCACCCTGAATTTTTGGCTCCAGTGTTACTTGCCTTCTGATGACAGCCCGGAGACGGCCTAGCCAGCTCCACCTGTAACTGCCCGTCCCACTGCGCCATGCTTTTCTGAGATTTTCTGAGATACCGAGATTTCGGCAATGCCTATGGATTCGTAGTGGAGTTCAAATGCTGTGTCTGTCGCCTTCCTCCTAGTTGCAAAGTCAGCCTCGTGTTTTGTCGCTCACGGCCTCTCCCCGCTGTTCAAAGCCTGTATTTACAGATCGGGCTTCCCACATGCCTCCCTACAACAAAGATGGTCTCTTAATTGATCGCTTATGTAACTTTCTGTCACATTTCGTTATGTACTCTTCGAGGGGGGGAAAGGCTCACTCGTTTCATCTTTTGATGTCGAGCAGTGGCTTGCATTTAGTAAGAACCAACAAATAACCTCTTAAAACCAGTCACTATAGAAACATAAAAAGCCTGGATGAAGATAGGATAGACCGAAGAGTCTTTGTAAAGCTTTCCCAGCTGTTTTTTTTCTGCTCTGGGAACAATGGCACACACAGAAGGTGGTCAGAGACGGCTCTCTGCTCAGAGGCGGGCTTGACCACTTGAAAAGTAAAGCACCTACTGATGCAATTGTGTTTGGACACCTCCTTCAACCCACCTGCCAGCTTGCTCTTGTTCCCCTCAAGCATCTCCATTGGATGCCAGATCTTTTGTCACTCTGATTGTGGCTGATGCCTCCTCGATTCAGAGCAGGAGCGGGCAGACTCTCTGTGAAGGGTGAGGACACCTCGGCTCCAGGGACCACAGCTCCCCTTGCACCTAATGTGGCTGTACCCTCACAGCGCACACAGAGAAGCTGCACACAATTCACAGACGACTGATTCCAGCTGGCTGTGTGGTTGAATCTACTTGCAAACAGACAGATTTCTTTTGTGGTCCCACAATTTTCCACCGTCTCATTAGATGGCAATCCGCTCGGGAATCCGCTCGGGTCACCATTTGTCCCTCTGAGGGAATGGCATGGTGTATCATGGTTTCACTATGGATGCTTCCTTTTTTTTTTTTTTTTTTCTTCTTTTGTGCTGACACTTTTTTTTTTCTTTCTAGGCGGGAAACTGCTTACCTCTTGGTTTACATGAAGACTGAGTCCTGATGTAGGTACTCACACCTTCGTGGAATGATAGACTCTTGTTTTCTCTCCCGTTCATTCCCACGTCTGCTGCGTTTTCAATGAGAATAATAATTTAAAACCCCATAATTAAACCTTATTTATAAGCCAGAGTTGTCATTGCCAAGACTTGGAGGTGGTTTGTCTCCTGAAAGCTCACGTGCAGAAGGCTTGGGCCTCAGTATGACGGTGTTTTAAGAGAGGGCCCAGTGAGAGGTAATTGGTCTAGGGGCTCTCTTCTCTTCTGTGCACTCGTAGTTCCTTTTCTGTTTCTCTACCCTAACACGATGCAACCTGGGGGTCCGCAACATGATGCCAGTTCCGTTGCTGGTTGGATCCCCCAGCCTTCAAAATTCCGAGTCAAATAAATGTCACTAAATACTGTTCTGCCTCAGGTATTTTGTTATTTCAGTGGGAAATGCATGAATATAATTGTTAAAAATCCCTAGCAATGACCCTAACATAGGAAAGGACACTTTCACCAGTGAAGGCTGCTGACTGTGGCCTTCAGTACGAGAGGTGACCCGCTCAGCCGGGAAACTGAGGGCCCGGGCATTGTCAGGTAGGAATCAGTGGTAGGAGGAGGGGCCGGAGTGACAAGGGACGGGGGGGTAAGCATTTTAGTGTTACACAGTGCGACTATGCTGGCATGCACTCGCTAAACATCAGCTCAACTTAAAAAATGTTATTGTGACTATTATCATTATTAGTTAGATAATAAAGATGTGTGTGTCTGTCTGTGCGTGCCACGGCACGCATATGGAAGTCAGTTCTCTAATTCCACTGTGGCAGCCAAGGCTTAAACTCGGGTGGTCATGCTTGGTATATGACAAGCCATTTTACCTTGTGAAGTACCTGCAGCGGCCACAGGAGGGCATCAGAGCCTCTGGAACTGGAATTAGAGCCGGTTGTGAGCTGCCACAGTGGGTCCAGGGACTCAAACCCAGGTGCTCTGGAAAACAGCGGACTCACCCCCCAGCCCCTCAGCCCCGACTTTAGCTTCTTCCACGTTTACTTGGAAAAGATATCTCGGTCATCCAGTCTCTATGAGGTAGCCGTGCGCTTTCGCTTAGTCGTGACCAGAATGTCTGCGAGAACAACGTAAAGGGGAAGGATGGATTCTGACGGGCAGTTTCAGGGGATAAGTGTATCGGAAGTTGGTTTCTCACGCGGTGGCGGACGGGAAGGAGAGGGAACTTGGGAGCAAGAAAGGGGAGCGGGGGGGGGGGGCGGGAGAGGAAAGAAAGGGACCGGGAACCCCTTACGACCTTCAAAGCCACACTTCCGTCCACTTCCTCCAGCTAGGCCTCACCTGAAGTGTCAGGCTTTTCCCAGAACAGTGCGAGCAGCTGGGAAGGGTGTGGTTTAGTAAAATACAATTGAAGTCCACAGATACCGAGGGCTTGTGCTATGGAAACTGAAACCCCTCTGCTGTGGGGCGGGGTGTAGGCCTTTGATGGGAGGGGCTCAGAGGGAAGGCATACTCCCTCAAGCGGCTGAAAAAGACAGTATTCAAGGTTGAAGGAAGTCTGAAAACATGGCTTTCTCATGCAGGGGAAACAAGTGCTGAGGGGTGGAGGCCAGGAGCGAGGTGGAAGGTCTCAAAGTAGGCTGAGAGGTTTGGACTTAACTAGACGGCTAGTGAAGTACTGGAGGGGTTTAAAAAAAAAAAAAAAAAAGGAAGCAGTGCTTATGCAGAACTAGTTTTCTGGTGAAAAGGGTTAGAGAAAGAAATGACAGTGGGGATCCGAGGAGGCTCACAGTCACTGGGGCCACTTTGGATGAAGAACAGATGCGGGTGGTGAGAGGAAATCCAGAGGATGCTATGGCAGGCTGGGATGTGAGCAGGATGGGTATCGACAGGGTATCGACAGGGTATCGACACGGTATCGACACCCTGTCGTTAACAGACGACATAATTCATACGTTCACACACTTAATGTCTTCTTCAGTGTTTCACGGTTGTGTTAGGGTTCTCTAGAGGAACTGATCTGATGGGGTGAATATACATTAAAAGGGCATTATAGGCCGACAATGGCCATCCTTACACTGAGAGGCTGAGGACCGGGAGCTAGTGCTTAGCCACAAGGCTGGGAGCCTCAGCAGAGCCTCTTCCTGCTGAAGGATTCCTCAAGAGCTGCCTGTCTTTAGCTCGGGTGAGCAGGCTAAAGGAGCTGAGTTTTAGTGTCAACAAAGATGGTTTCGGCAGTGACAGCAGCAGCAGCAGCAGCAGCAAAAGAGTAGATGCACTTCCAGGTAAGAGGCTAAGCCAAGTAGGCCAAAAGCAAAAGCATTCTCCTGCAACCTCCTTATATCTGGGCTTTTATTATTGGGTGCTTCCCGCTTCAATTAGCCTAATAAGGAAAATCCCTCATGGGCATGCCCAGGTGTAGACCTAAAGCTGACGATCTCTCAGGTGTGGCTTGAGCAGTGGTTCTCAACCTGTGGGTTTTGACTCCCTCCACCCCCGGGGTCACATGTAAGATATTCTGCATATCAGCTTTACACTGCGATTCATAACAGTAGCAAAATTAGAGCTATGAAGTAGCAATGAAATAACTTTATGGTTGGGGAGGGGGGGTCACCACAACATGAGGAACTGTATTAAAGGGTCGCAGCATTAGGAAGGCTGAGAGCCACTAGCCTAGAGGCTTGTCACCAATAAAGGTTAATTAGGACAGTGCTTGAGAGGGCTCCCACGGAGCGAGGGACAGTTCAGTAAGGGGCTCGTCTCCACCCAGACTCCAGGCAGTCTTTACTTTCCAGTTCCTGTAAAATTAAAAAGATTAAAAAAAGAAAGATTCCAATATACAATGGCGTACAGTAAACATTCCAAAAGGGAAGGATGGAGCATAGCGAGAAAAGATCGGGCCAGAATAAGACCGAAACCTGCTAGGAAAAACGCCAGACCCCATGCTCCTAGTGTCTGGATTATGTAGTGTTATGATGTGAATTCCAGCGGGCTTGGGTAACTCAGCTCCCACAGTCCAACTGAAGCTCGCAAGGCTCTCTAATAGGCTGTTCCATGTATTGTCTGCAGGTATCCTTGACAAATGTCCCGTGTTCCTGGTATCTCTACCACTCTGACGTCTCCATGACAGCTTCTGTTTCACCTTCAAGGGCCGTACACAGCCTCCCCAGGGTCACCCTGCAGGCAACCAACCTTGCTACATATTACCAGGCCCCACAGAACTCTCTGGAACCTAGTGTAAGCTTTTAGGACCCCGTTGCTCTCTCATTCTACATGTGTGCAAAACTGGGAGCCTGAGGAGACGGCCCAGGGCTTAAGAGCGTGTGCCCGCTGCTGCAGAGGACTCAATAGCACGTCAGCTCTGGGAGCCGACCTCCCACGAGTGGGATGAGATGCAGACACTGTCTACCTTAGGGGAAAAGACAGGGCTCATCCTGGCCAGGGGTGCTTGCTAGCCCAGTTTGTGTTTGGCCACACCCTGAAGCCACAGCAACAGTTCTTCTGACCTGATCTTGCTTTGTTTGTCTGAAAACCGAAGTTAACCTTTGCTTCTAAGAGCTGAGAGAGGAAATAAACTCCCTTCTTCCCTAGTTTGAGCTGGTCACGGTGTTTTATCACAGCGACAGAAAGGTGAGCAATGTAGGCATCGGTACCGCAGAGTGGGCTGTTGCTGTGGCAACGTGACCGCGCTGGGTTTGGAGGGATGTGGAAGAGTGTGAAACGCTGGACTAGAAAGGCATTGAACGCTGGCAGTGGGACCTATGGGCCGTCGACTTTGGGGTTTTATGACACGAGCTTCTCAAAAGTCTCTGGTTCCCAGGCAGGAGGCAGGGAAGGGATGGGGAGAAGGCTGCTTGGCCGCCAATACCCTTTGACGTGAGTCACATTTCCCCAGATGAGAAGTTTGGGACCCAGAGGTCTGTCAGATGGATACTCACAGACTGGCTCAGTGGCTGCCTGTCAGGGCTGCTAACGGTTCTGCAGCTTGAGCAGCAACTGCCTCCAACATCGCATGCCCCCGAACACAGGCCTGATAACACTTTTGGCCTCTCTGCCTTGTCTTCTTTCTTCTCTTAAACGCCAACAAAATGGCTCTTGAGTTTCCTTCCAAGTTTAGTTCCAAACTAAGAAGCCACAACAGGGAACCTTGACATCTCACTAAGGTATGTAGGTGTGGTTATGATTTCATCTAATTCTATAGAATTATCTACAACAATGTATTATTTCTTAGCCGTTATCCCAATGGCAAAATTAGCTTATTTTTAACACTGACAAACTATGCTTATTTCAAATACAACAAGGCCCAGAAAGCATGTGAAAATATCTCTTCATAAGTTCGCTTATCAAAAAAAAAAAAA